ATCAAAAATAAAAAAAAAAAAAAAAAAAAAAAAATTAAAAAAATTGTTGTTCAACTAATTAGGGCTATGTGACGCAAAAGGCGATTTTATGACATACAACACATTAAAACAAGCTAAAAATGATCACATCATCATACAAAAATTAATTAAAATCACTAAAAGATATCACAAAGACACAATCATTATCCTAAAAACGTTAACACTTAAAATAATATCCTTAATTAAAGCTCAAAAAGACTCACCCAGATTATTCTAATTGAAAATCAAACACATTGTATAACTGCCATCATTGCCGCAAAAATCTAAGGTACTGATTTGATGTTAATTTTCTAGGTGTGGTATGAATTTTTTTGGTAGTGTAGGTATACCTATGTTTATTATGTGTTTTTTGAACAATTACTTATTATATTATTATAAATAATATTGAGATTCTGTGTGTCTCTATTTAAATTTACATTCGTCCTGTTGTTATGGGTATGACACATTTCAAGAAAAAGTATCTTTTTAAAATTCACCTCGCAGTCCAATATTTGTACTTCTTGAAATTTAAATAAATGTCCTTCTTCAAAATGATGCTGAGCCAGTCCCGTCTTTGGGTTATCCGAATTGGTTATGTTACAATCTCTGCGGTGTTCGCCTATTCTGTTTTTTAAAAACTGTTTGGTTTGATCTATGTAACAGTGGTCGCAAGCACCACAGGGGATCTTGTAGATAACGTTGCTTTTAAAATCGCTTTTTGTTTCATCTTTTACTCGAGAAAAAAGGTGTCTCACGCATTTTGTGTTGTACTGTGCGATTTCTGAGTTTGGCGTCTTAAGTTTCCTCTTGAGGGGTTCTGTCAAACCCAGCACGTAAGGCATTTGAAGATTTTTTTATTATTGACCAAGTTGACTGCATTTGCATTGGCGTTATTAGAGGGTCGTTGGTTTAAAATCCTATTGATTAGAGCTTTTGGGTTAGAGAAAATTAACATCAAATCAGTACCTTAGATTTTTGCGGCAATGATGGTAGTCCATAATAATACAAACATTTTTAACGTATGCAGTTATACAATGTGTTTGATTTTCAATTAGAATAATCTGGGTGAGTCTTTTTGAGCTTTAATTAAGGATATTATTTTAAGTGTTAACGTTTTTAGGATAATGATTGTGTCTTTGTGATATCTTTTAGTGATTTTAATTAATTTTTGTATGATGATGTGATCATTTTTAGCTTGTTTTAATGTGTTGTATGTCATAAAATCGCCTTTTGCGTCACATAGCCCTAATTAGTTAAACAACATTTTTTTAAATTTTTTAATTTTTTATTTTTGATGTCAATGTCCTTTTTTCTTGTTAAACTTGTATTGTTTCGTTTTTTGCAGCCCTGATGATGATGCTAACCAGCATCGAAACGTTGGCTATTTGATTTTTAAATTTAATAAATAAGTCCAAGAAAGCTGAATATTATTTCCATTCCTCATAATAAATTCGGTATTCAGCTGACAATATTGCTACCTGGTCGCTGAAATACCAACAACATGATATTTTACCGAACATTTTATGACATCGTCAAACTGATATTTTTAATTTCAAGTTTTTATTCATATTTTTGCATTGTATTTATTTTCAAAATTTTACGTGAAATAGTCATGACGAATACCACTCGAGAAAAAATTGTGTAGGCAAAATTGTTCTCAAGGTTTTATTCAAGTTTGTTGCTTTTCGGCAATTACGGCTCATGACCATAGAGAAATATAACAGTAGTAAACTACGAGAGAAGTCATTCCCCTGTACTTAAATGTCGACGTTAGCGCCCCTGGTGGCTACGGACAGCAATTAGAGAGTGAACATTGTTTGAATGCAGGTTTCTTCTTTATCGACAGTGAAATGGCGGCTTTTTTGAATAATTAAATTATTATCTTTGATTTTATTTAAGATTTATTAAAAATAAAGTACTGTAAACGCTCAAAACAGTTAATTGCAAAGCAAAAAATTTGTTGAAAAAACTTGCTAAAATTTACTGAGCAACTGTTTAGAACGATAACAGAACTTATTTTTAAAAAATCCAAATTAGATGCAATGAGATTCCTTAAGGGGATCAAGGAGGTAATTGAACAATACATAATTGAGATATCTTCAAACAAACTTATTTTTTTATTCCAATTTTATAAATATACAGTAACTAAAAATGTTTGTATTATAAGCTCGATTATAAGCTTTGGCCGCGTTCACCAGATACAAACGTTGGTAAACGGTTTGTGATTATTCTGCTGAACGTTACGTCGAATTTGTGTTAAAACCAAACATGTTTTGCAAACGGTCGCCATTTTTGCAAGCATAAAGGCCGAAACCCACTAGCAACACGCCACATCACGCCATGTGACGAAAATGTATCGTATATTCTTCCATTTATCTATATGTGCCGCGTACACACTTGCCACACGCGATACCACGTCATGGCACGCCACGCCATCCGTCCATTTGCACACAAACTGTCCCACGTGAACCTGTGTCACTTGGCGTGGAGTGGCCTAGTATGGCGTGGCGTGTTGCTAGTGGGTTTCGGCCTTGATTTCAGCGTGTTTATAATTTTCAACGCTGTGTTTTGTGTGGTGACCTGTCATTCAGAAGGTGACGTTCTATCATTGAAAAGTTGAATCGTTCAGCAGAACCAAGAGTTTACCCAACATATTGTGTTGGTATTTGTGAACTGTTTAGAATCCGTTTTGGTTCTGGGGAACGTAGCCTTTGTGTTTACCTTTTTACTGCATCTCGCATTATCGCAAATTCAAAAACACACTATTATTGGTGTTGGTTTTGTCTAATTAATTAATATTTATGATCACAGAATGTTTTCTCATTTCTCTAATATAAATAATAAATAGAAGAAATTTTACGTTATGATTGTCAGCATTCAGTTTTTGATTGATGGTCTCTCGATTCAATCATTTATCAAATTTTGTATTTTGTATGTGTTAAAAAAAGATAGAACATTTTCGGGCAAGTTGCTGGCAAAGACAAATTAAACCGAGTTGTCAGAAACGATCGAAGTAATTAGTTCAATAATCTGCCCCACCATGCGAAATACGCTACGGGTATGTGCACAAACACACTTCCAGATTGTTACATTAAACAAACGTCTCTCGTAGTTTACTACTATTATATATCTCTATGCTCATGACTCATGACATTTTTGACAAAATCATGAGCCGTCAGGCGAGTGATTTGCGAAATTGCCAAGCAACAAACTTTCATACCTTTCGAAAATTTTGCCGACAAATTTTTTTCTCTTGTGATATTATATATGATAATATTGTTAATATTATCGCAATATGTTCTTTTATATTAAAAAAAAACGCATTATCCATAGGTGATTCTTTACCTTATAGCCGTGAAAAATTATGGATAAGGCAGAAGGTATTGCGATAATATAGTTATTAATTATAGTAGTTCGCTATGAACACCATAATGAAACTAGGGTTGCCAACTTTGTTTTTTAATTTTTCTGGACGAGGGTAATAAAAATTCAGGACATACAGTATAAATTCTGGACATTTTTATTATTGCAGAGAAAAATACCATTTACAAACTTAAATGAATAATTCGACAAAAAAAAACATACCGAGAAACATACAATACACTAAAAAAAAAAACTGTCCAACAAGAATTCTTTGGGTAAATAGGAACTAATAATTTAAAATTTTATTTCAAAAGTACGCAGATTAACAAATTATTTAAAGAATATGAAAAGTTAAGTAGGTACAGGTAGATACTTATAAAGGTCTGTTTCTGTTCTGCAGCTGCAGTAATCACAAACCAGTCAGAGCGAAATACAAGTTGCAAAATTCAGAAATTTTTCAATTCAGTAGGTATTAGTCCAAAATAATAAATTTCATTTTCAAGTAATGTATGATTTTCGTTATAAACCACCACCAGGCTTATAGCCGGCTTAATTTAACAGAATTCTTCATTGAGTTAAAAATTAAGTACAATAGGCGTCCTGCAATAGGTTGTTACAGGACGCTGGACAATGAACCCCGAATGATGGACGTCCACCGAAATGCAGGACGGTTGGCAACCCTAAATGAAACGCCTGTAACGTTAACAATTTAGTTACACAAGTTTCATTAATAAAGTTCATATCGAATGTGTATCATTCAAAATTTAATCTACGATGGTCCAAATAAATTTGATTTGCCTTGAAATAGCAATAGTGAAAAATGATATTAATATTGGTGATTCTAACTTTCTTTTTGTATATTTTTCATTTCATAATTTGGGCGTTTTTATGAATTCTTAAACGAAGGACCTAATGACGTTCAAATGACAATGCCAAATGTGTCATAATGACACCGACGTAGATTAACAATATTATCGAATGTAATACCACAAGAGGTTTCAGGATTACCGGATAATACTTTTACCTGTCACGAGTGTCAGGTAAAAGTATTAGGTAATCCTGAAACATCGAGTGGTATTCAAAAGGTTATACAACAAACTAAACTTCAATGCTTTATTAATTTTTATTATTATTTATAACAATATTGCCACCAAGCGAGATAATCCCAAAAGGCTTATCACTTCTTAAGCCTCTCGTGTCATATGGGAATAATGTACAGTGAGTTGTATAATCAATAATAATATAACGAGTGCAATGGAAATTATCGATAATTTTCACAATCAAACAGTAAATCATATCCTAAAAACACCAGACAAAAAAATTTGTTTCTTGCTTTTTAATTTCAATTTTATTTTTGAAGAAGGATAATTCTGTATTTTGCAGCGTCAAGGGAGAGTGATGGCTGTCAGAATCACATTGCTAATCCAATAACAAAATAATGCTCCTCATGATAATATCATATCATGTATTTATACTGCCTTTGAAGTCAAATGTTGAATTTCTAGTTGAAGACTTTTGAAATAAATAAATACAAATTCCTATACATATTTCTACACAAGAAAATACTTGTTCTGTATTTTTCATATAATAAAGCTATTTTCGATTTCATCTATTTTCAGTTCAAAATGCATTCGTTATTGGCCAAGTGTGATGAAAACCCTACCTACCCATCAGGTAGAGTGAACGGAGTACGACCAGCACAGATTCCCGATCCAGAATTTGACAGCGATGATGAGGATGATGATGATGAGTTTGACAATATGAATTATGAAGAGGAATTTGTAAAGAAAGAAATGAAGCTGTATGAGACTGGTTACAATAAAGAAGGTGAACGTGGTGGATATGGTGACGATTTGGTAAGAGCTTATTAAATTCTATACATTTAAACCCGCATTTATAGTTTCAACATAATAGGCCAGGAAAGAGAGGTTGAACCTCGCAAACTCAACACAAGTTTTGTTTTATCTTTTTTCTGGTAGGACAAAGGTTGCTTATTATGGGTCTAACTTTTTCCAACAAAATTTCATCCTGGAACATCCTCTTTCATCCCCCTAAAGGTGTTTTTTTGTGGTTTTTCCGAAAGGTAGCGCTTCCACTACGTTTTACAAAAAAATACTTTTTTAGTAAATTAAAGAGGACTAAATCTCTACAATTTATCCAGCGACAGCATATGACTATCACCTACCTACCCTTTAGTCGGGGTGGCGCTCTAAAGTTGAATGACCTTGAAAAAAGATGTTTTGGAAATTATTTTTTTTTTACTGAACAGTAACGAATCCACCACAAACTATACAGCAAATACTTATAAATAATTGGCCGATTTTTTGGTATATATGTTTTATTTAAAAACATTAACCCATTTAAGATATATAGGGTCTTGAAATTTAAACAACCCCCTTTCATGTCATCTGCAGGGCTAATGCTAGCCTGTTAAAATTTTCAGGGATAATTGATGTTAGAATGATATTGAAAAATTCGTATAATGCACCCCTATTTTCCACCTGGAACCATCCCAAAAAAAAATAAAATTTGAAAAAAAATGCTTTTTCCTACAGCCGTGCGGAAAAATCGATTTTCCGCACTGATATGCGTGCGGAAAATGAGTTTTCCCGCACGGTGCGGTAAAACTTTTACCGCACGCATATCAGTGCGGAAAAAGTTTTTCCGCACGGCTGTCAGTGCGGAAAAAATTTTACCGCACTGATCTGTCAAAAAAAAAATAAAAATTTACATTTTTACGTCTGTAGGAAAAATATTGTACCTAACACTTGCGGAAAATATTTTTCCGCACTCGGCTGCTTCACCGAACTTCGCTACGCGTCGTTCGGTGAACGGCAGCCGCGTGCGGAAAAATTCATTTTCCGCACTTGTTAGGTAAATAGCTATTTCCTACAGCCGTGCGGAAAAATCGATTTTCCGCACTGAGATGCGTGCGGAAATGGGGTTTGAGTTCATGGGATTTTGCATGGGGGTCGGAGATGGTGCTAAAATAGTACCCTATTAATTTCATGGCAAGACTCGAAGTCCGATTTGGAAAAAATACGAAAATCTCAATATTTATGCATTTTCACTTGTTAAGGGTAGTTTTTCATATTTCGACGGGGTTTGAGTTAATGGGATTTTGCATCAGGGTTGGATATGGTGCTGAGAGAGTACCCTATTAATTTCATGGCAAGACTCGAAGTCCGAGTTGGAAAAAAATACGAAAATCTCAATATTTATGCATTTTTACTTGTTAAGGGTAGTTTTTCATATTTCGACGGGGTTTGAGTTCATGGGATTTTGCATGTTGGGTTGGAGATGGTGCTAAAATAGTACCCTATTGATTTCATGGGAAGACTCGAAGTCCGAGTCGGAAAAAAATACGAAAATTTTAATGTTTATGCATTTTTACTTGTTAAGGGTAGTTTTTCATATTTCGACGGGGTTTGAGTTCATGGGATTATGCATGGGGGTTGGAGATGGTGCTAAAATAGTACCCTATTAATTTCATGGCAAGACTCGAAGTCCGAGTTGGAAAAAATACGATAATATCAATATTTATGCATTTTTACTTGTTAAGGGTAGTTTTTCATATTTCGACGGGGTTTGAGTTCATGGGATTTTGCATGGGGGTCGGAGATAGTGCTAAAATAGTACCCTATTAATTTCATGGCAAGACTCGAAGTCCGAGTTGGAAAAAATACGATAATATCAATATTTATGCATTTTTACTTGTTAAGGGTAGTTTTTCATATTTCGACGGGGTTTGAGTTAATGGGATTTCGCATGGGGATTGGAGATGATATTAAAATAGTACCCTATCAATTTCATAGCTAGACTCGATGTCTAAGTATGGTTTATTGAATTTATGTCGAATTAAAAAACAATGCTACGCCACTGGTCGTTCGGGCGTTTCCGTCAAATTGGCTGCCAAGTTTTGGCTGCTAACTTCACACCGGTGAAGCTGGGCAGGATCTATAGCAAAAGGAATTTAAAAAAATTTAATCAGTTGTGTTTAAGCACAAACTGGAATGACGTCTTCGACAAACCATCAGATCCATTTCGCCACTTTCACACTTTTCTGATACATAATTTTGAAAAGGCATTTCCAAAGATAAAAATTAAATATGAAAACGTGCTATAAGTAGTACTTTTCTAACGACCACCTTTTTACAGCTTATGCAAAGAGATACCGAAACATCTATAGAAAGTGTATCAAAGTGGCAAAGCGAAGATATTATGAGGATAAATTAGATGAAGCTAAAAACAAATCTAGGGAAAACTGTTATATAATCAATTCGCTACGCGGGAAAACCAAGAATTTAAACTAGCACTGAACCAGAGTTAATGAATGATTATTACTGCTCAGTTGCAAAAAACTTAAGGGTATTGAATGCGCCGTTTAAAATATATTGTAACGACGTCGAACTATACGACTCCCAACAAGTTAATGCTAATAAAGATGTGAGGTTCATCGCGATTATTGCATTGGGCTACTGTTGGGCCGGTTGGCCTTGGATCCTTCATGATGGCGATTTAAAATTTATCGCAAATCAGGCGGAGGAAAGAGCCATAGGGTTTGCTGCGGGTATAACAGAGACAGGCAGAATGACAAGAAGAATTAAGTAAATTTCTACAAAAAAAACTAGATGATTTTTGGGATTCTGGTTTGTGCTATTGTATTGCTAACACACATAAGAGTGGCGCTAAATAAAAAAGACACCATAAATTGATTAATTTTCTCGTTTTTTTCCAGTTTAAATTACATTTTTGTAATTTTTCGAGAACTCGTTTCTATTACCGGATTTCCAAAAAGATAGCGCCATTCTTCCCTATATTATAAATCGAATGCAAAAAAGAAATTTGATATAACTTCAACTGCTAAAAAGTTACGTTGAAACTAAGAACGCAATGCATTCCTTGTTTCATTCATCTCATTCCCACTAAGGCCCGGTACTTTCACCTCAGTATAAATATAATTTATTCGGCGAATAAGTATCTATCGGATAATTAAACCAGAGGTAGCTATCTTTAGTATATCTCCGAGGGGTATTTTCAAGTAAAGTTATCCTCGTGCTAACAATCCGTTGCTGGTAACTTCAGTATTTCGGCAATGCTAGTGTTACCAACCAAAGAAAACGGGCGGCCTCGAATTGCGCACTTTATACCTGGGCCCTATCCATTTTAACACGAATTGCGCACTATACAAAAGAGGCCCCAAATTTACAGTACTCGAATTGCGCACCCGAAGATTATGATAATTAAGTATTATAAAAATAATATGTCCATAATATAAACAATATATTTTCTTTTATTCACACAAGAAAAAAAATGTACAAAGATAAATTATAACAATATACAATTCGTTATTATTATTAGTCTGTTGCTTATAAAAATAACTTTTAAACATTTTATATAATGAAGCTTGTCTATTTTTGGATACTGAATAATCTTTTCTCTTTTCTTTCTAAGTTTCATCGATACTTTGTAATTTTATGTACGTTTCTGTCTAAATTTCATTTAAGATATTTACAAATATATACAAGGATGGATGTGTTTTATAAAACTGACCTTCTATTAGGGTTGTACCCATTAGGAATAATTATTTATAAAATTACCTGCAATTGCACCAGAGCGCAATTCGTGGTAAGTATTCTAGGTTCTAAAAGTAACCCTCATTAAGAGATTAAGAAAGTGCGCAGTTCATGCACGTCCGCCGCCGGACGTTGTGGGCCAAACTGCAACGAATGCGAAAATAGATTCAAATTCTGGAATTCCTTTTTCAGTGAAAATATTTTATCTTTGATTGTTGAGTACACAAATAAATACATAGAAGTTGTAAAACCGAGATTCATCAGATGGTTCAAATTTGAAATACTAAGTACAAAAATGAAATTGTAAATAACAAAAAAAAAAACACCTCTATTTAACGAATTTTTCAAACCAACACAAATCTCAAAAAATTAGGTCAGAATTCTGTGTTTTCACCTAAATCAGAGTAAACACACTGCGCGAGGAGCTATTTGGCAGATAAAACCGGTTATTCTTAGGTCGGAGCACAGGATACGTTAACTAAAGGTTAGCCCACATTTATCTGATAGATATCACTATACGGAAGTGAAAATACACTAGTTTTCCTTATCCCTTGGATATTTTCTAATCTGTGGAATAAATATCGCTATCTGAAAGTGAAAGTACTGCGCCTAAGGAGTATTAATAGGGGGGGAAGAATACAATGATAGACTGCGTTAGGTGCTTCGCGCAGGAAAAAATATTTTGGCATCGAGGCGCATTCAATACCCTTAACCTCAAATCTCAGTTCATCGGTAGATCCTATTTCCTTCTTGGGGCATATAAATATTCCTGAGGCTTGAGGGGTCAACCACTTCCCGAAATACCTGTACAATTGGCCCGAATTACCTCCGAAATACTTCGAAGTACCTACACCATTTCCAAATCCAAGCAGCAGTAAGGCAGTAAATGACAAACTGGTCATTTTCATTACAACCTATCAAATGTCCTCCGTGCATTTGCACTGGTCCAGGTAGGGCGTTTCAACCAATAGGAAGGCTGGTGTTTGTTTACAATTTAGGTTATTGAAATGTCATTTACTGCCGCTTGAATTTGGAAATGGTGTAGAAATACCGTGAAGTACGTCGAAATACCAGGTATTCCCGAAATACCCTCAAATTACCGCGCGAAGTCCCGCAATACTAAAACAATTCTCGTTTAGAATGATTCTTCTTGTGGATCACAGTGAAGAATTTTTGCTTGGATTTTTGTATCTTTTGATATGATGGATTATATTCGGACCCACAAACAACAATTAAATCAATAGCTGCAGGAATAAAAATAAAACATTAACATAAGATAA